TCTTTCCCTTTCCAGGGTGGGAAGAGGGGGTTAACAGAGAGCATCTGTTACTGTTCTGGGGACTGCCCTGACCCCAAACCACGGCATGCATGAATCCCAACAAGCAATCACATCACCAAAATTTTAGATAAAAACCTGATTGCCATTTCTACCCTCTGCATTTAGCATTGTGGGCAACAAAATATTTGGACAAGCAACAGGTTCAATGGATCTATAACCAACAGATAAAGATCCAGACAACCACTTTATCACATTTCCACAATAAGCTATATGTACTAAAAAACAAACCAAAGCCCAATGTGTCCTGATCCTGCATTTTTCTGTGCACACCAGATCCACCTACTGATTGTTTGCATCTGTATCCCTGGGGGTGCGTGGCATCTTCAACCTAATGCATGAACAACCATACACACACAAATGCTTTCATGAGTATTCCACAAAAGACTTCTCACCCGCAGTACAAGATAAGCAGTACAACATGCTGAACAGTCTTTGTTAAATCCCACTTACCACCAACTTGCCAAAAAAAAAAAAAAAAAGCATCATGCTAATATACAATGAGATTTTTTCAAAAAATAAAGGGACAGCAAATGATCAAACAGCAAGTATTCTTAATTTTATCAGATGTATTCTGCAGATTTCTTTACTGATCAGTCAAGCCAATACGAACTAAACCAAAACCAAATTAAATGAGAAAAAATGAGAGCAAAATGACTATTCTGGCAGTACCACAAATCATGGACTGCCAAACTTAGTGCAAGAACTGGCACGGATTAGAACTGAGCAACTGAGACCAACCAGCAATCTGCAAGTACACAAATACACTGAAGAAATTTTAGAGCAGCTACGAAAGAGCAGTTTCAATCCAGTTGTTGACAGGGAGTGATCTGACAGAGGACAGTCAGCATCAAAGAGTTGTAAAATGTAGTACCGAAGTATGCAAATATATTACATCACAAAATTTAACTTTGCTGGCTGAAGTGTGCACCCTCAGCAAGTTTGCTGACGATGCTGGGAGGTGCAGTTGACATGCCAGAGGGATGGGAGGCCACCCAGAGGGACCTGGGGACCTGGACAGGCTGTAGAGGTGGGCTCAGGTGAACTTCATGAGGTTCAACAAGATCAAGGGCAGGGTCCTGCACCTGGGGAGGGGCAACCAGCATTAGCAATACAGGCTGGGAGAGGACATGTTAGAAAGCAGTCCACTGGAAAAAGACTTGAGGGTACTAGCAAATGAGAAGCTGGACACAAGCCACCAATGTGCAGCAGCAGCTAAGAAGGCCAATCAAATCCTGGGCTGCATCAAAAGAAACGTGGCCAGCAGATGGAGAGAGGTGATCTTGCCGCTCTACTCTGCCCTGGTGAGACCTCACCGGGAGTCCTGTGTCCAGCTCTGGAGCCCCCAGCACAAGAAGGCCGTGGAGATGTTGGAACGTGTTCAGAGGAGAGCCACAACAATGATCAGAGGGCTGGAGCAGCTCTGCTGAGAGGACAGGCTGAGGGAGTTGGGGCTGTGCGGCCTGGAGAAGAGGAGGCTCTGGGGGGACCTTACAGCGACCTTCCAGTACCTGAAAGGGGCCTACAAGAAAGCAGGGGAGGGACTATTTACAAGGGTCTGTAGTGACAGGACAAGGGGTAATGGCTTTAAGCTAGAAAAGGGTAGACTTAGGTTAGACATTAGGAAAAAAATCCTTCACTATGAGGGTGATAGATCCCTGGAATTGATTGCCCAGACAGGTGGTGGAGGCCCCATCCCTGTGGACATTCAAGATCAGGCTAGATGAAGCTTTGAGTAGCTTGATCTAGATGGAGATGCCCCTGCTCATGGTGGGGGGATTGGACTAGAAAACGTTTGGAGGTCTCTTCCAGCCCAGACATTCTATGATTCCATAAACAGCCAAATATTTACCATTTATCCCAAGGTAATGAACTAGGCCTACCCTCTCTCTTACAGGGTCACAGAAGTAACTGGTGGGAAACTTCACAAACAGTTTTGCGCTTTGGCATGAGGTTGTGCTTTGAAGCTGAGCTCTTGACAGAAATCTGCTGCAAGGCCTTTGCCCCATTTGTATAAGCAAAACTTCCAAAGAAAGATTTCCTATATTCCAACCATATCAAAAAGGTTTTTATTTTCATTTGCTCTCCCCTTCCTCATAGTCCCTCCTCAGAATACATGAATGGTCTCTCACAGAAGTACACCTCATTTTTATCAAAGAAGCAAATTAAAAGCAAAACATGCAGGGTAGTAATACAGTGCCCAAATAAAAACAAGGCAAGGAAATGCTGCAGAAAGAATTCTTCTGGTTCTACATCAAAATTAAACCCAGGCTGTCTTGGCTGTGAAGTTCTACCCTGTATTGAGAGGCACCAAAGCTTTTAGAAAGAGATGTGTGTCCTACCCAAAGATGTGTTACACAGATCTAGCTCACTTCAGGACCAGAGGTACATTCCCTAAATGAGATCCGAGTTCTGGTAAAGTTTGCTGACACCAGCTGCTAAAGAAGAAGACTGGGCAACAGGAAAGGCAGCAGTGAGGGTGAGGGAGAAGAGCATTACTTCCATTACAGTAAAGAAGCAGCCAGCTTACAGCATGACAAGCAAATGCCAGGTTTGGCACTTGTGTTACTGAAAATAATGTGGCGACTGTTCTCAACTCAGCATGCAACCAGCTGTGAAGGTCTGTTTGCAACAGTGTCTACCTGAGCAGCTAGACATTTCTTATCCCAGGGAAAGCCTGCTTACTATCTGTAAAGCTACCCAAGTCCAGCTGTTACTGAAAAGAGACATGAGGTAATCGTTATTTCCAGAAGAAGAATCAATAGGATGCCGACGGTGACACAGGTAGAAGGATGGCATAAAATCTTAAACTACATGAGCAGCTATTAGGTTTAAAATCTACATTGTCTTTTTCCATTTTAAGCCCTGTCCAGAGAAAAACAGTTTAATGGCATGAAGTACAAGTTTTCTTAAATGGGCTCAAAAAAAAAAAAAAAAAGAAAACCACCAGAACAATCAGACCCAGAACATCCCTTAGCTAAATGAACAAGCCTCTCAGGAATGACATGGGGAAAGACCATACTTTTTGTATACCAAACATGAGCAGAGATTGGATTTTGTTGCTTTTCTGTAAATAGACAAGATAAGTATTTCAAGATACAGCTGAAGTGGTGTCAAGATAGCGATGTCCCAGGTCACAATCAGAATTTTGTATATACAATTCGTATTAACTTAAAAAAATAAGGAAGTTTAAAATACCTCCAGAGAACATTCTAGGTTAGCAAAATGTCCTGTACAAAAGTAGGCCACGACTGTTGGTTTAAAAGAAGTCCATAGCAGTTGGTCTTTTCTTAGCTGATACAGAGAATGATTTCTTCACTTGAGGCTCTCCTTTTGGGGTACCTGTGGCTGACTTCAGCACACCATGACGGGGCTTCTGTTCAGGGTTGAAAGCCACACGGGAGGGTCCTTCTGGGCTCACTAATATACTTTTGTCATTCTTTTTAAATTCTGTTGAAAAACAAGCAAGCAAGTTAAAAGAAATACCATCCCCTGGAATAACTGGGCATGTCCATCAGTTGTGGAATTGTCCAACCCTGGAAGTCTGACTTCAATCATAAAGTCCATCACTACAGATCAGAAGCTTAAGGCTTTGGGAAAAAATGGAGAGACAGTGGTGAAGCATATCTCTTAGCAGAGACCCTTGGAGAATGGGGTCTGCTGCAATCCCCAGGGCGGCTGTGAACCACTCCCCATGGCTTCCCAGACCACCAGGAATTCTCAGAAACAAGTGATGCAGCTATCCTGAACAACAGCACACTTCTGTTTGGTGATGGATAAGAACTAGCTCTATTCTCACAGTTAAACAGCACTGTTCTAGAGACTCCTGGTTATCCCTTCTGCTGGCAGGTAACCACTTTCCTTTGCTTTGTGCAGCTGTGTTACATTAACTTAAACACACATATCATACCCCAATATTCTGTTTGAACTTGGGCTATAACACATTTCAGACAGAAAAAGAAAAAAGCAGCTAAATGAATACATGGAATAAACTTCTATGCTATGTAGCAAGAGGATCCTTCACAGCCCAAAACATTCTATGATTTGTTTAACAGGGAAAACACTGTCTGTTTAACCGCAGGATCCAGAAGGGAACTGACATTTATCTACTCTTTGCCAATAATAAATGAGAGGAAGCCAAGGAAAAGAAAAAGGAAACTTTGCTATTATACAGCCTGTATAATACAGCATCCTGGACTCACGCAAGTCTAGCTATTGGGCCAAACATCTTAAACTTTACCATGTCCTCTGGACAGGAACTTGAGGATGGTTTATAAACTATACACAAACATGGAGACAAAAAAAGGATCAGAACCCTCCTGTTCTAGAGGGGTGAAGAGTACAGGTGCCTATGAGTGTGTGTGGCTTCCCCCTTCCTCGGATGTAAGAGAGGGTGTGAGACACACACGTATTGGACTCACCAGCAGTCATGTTTTTATTCAAGCCAAATGTGACTTTTTTGGAGCTGGACGACTGCAGCTTATTCAGCTAGAAAGCAAAATAAAGACATGAAATGCAGTAAGATTTCTGAAGCAATGCTACAAGTTCTTTTACCTGCATCCCATCAAAACCAATGCAGAGCAGCTTAGTTCCCTTTATTTGATTTGGAACTCTTCCAGTCCTCTAGCACTGTCCCCTGCTAAGACAGCACTCTTTTTCTAGCCAAAAGCAAACATATTTCATTTTTAGAGAAATCACATACTCTCCCTAACATCACTACATATCTCAACAACAAACAGGAAGATATCTTTGTATTAAATACACTGGCCCCACTGCACTCAGCCCTCAAAAGTGCAAAGAGGGCTTGGAAAGATATAGTATGTTAAAAATGTTTAGAAGCCCCGTACTGTTTCCACCCTTGACAAATGGGAAGAAACGGAGGCTCAAAGTCCCTTAGCAAGGCTGAAAATCAATTTATGCTTTTGCTTTCTTGCAAAATGAGGAGGTTCAGAATGCTGTTCTTTCAATAACAAGGTATTTTTGAGAGCGGGAGCTGGGGAGGGGGCAGGGATGAAGAAGAGATTTTAATGATGCCTACAACTAATTTTCTGAAACTCTAAAGCCATATATGACTGTCTGGAGCAGGTAGTTTGGGAAGAGACCCATGCCCTGACTCAGCTGCCACCTGCAGAAACACGTTACCTGCATGGATGCCCTGGAAGAAGAGATGGCGCTCCTGGCTTTCCTGAGGAATACTGACTTTGGTAAAGTTGATTTTTCAAATTTTACAAAATCACTTCCCGGTTTTGCTTTCTTTTTCTTTAATGATGCTAGAGCAGCACTGCTTTCCTATAAAGGAGAGAAAGGAAAAAACGTTCTCAGTACAAAAGTATCGTAGTTAACTGCACCTAGTAAAGTGATTAGTGCTCAGAGCTTACTACACGCAGCTTCTCTAGGTATTGCCACAGCTGAGGGAGAGCTAGTTAGTACTCACATAAACTAACCAACATGGTTAACTCTCAGGAGTTAATTTTGCAGTTAGCATGACTGAAAACAGAGGTTTAAGGCAAGCTCTGTGCACAAATAGGAAGGCCAATGCAAAGCAAAGAAGGAAGAACTCGTCATACATTTGCCTGGTCTTTCAAAGTGCAAAGAAACGTTTTTTTTTCTTCATATGCATGGGGCTGCCTTACAATTGTCCCAGCTTTCCTGCACACAAATGCTGACTTTTTTTATCTTTGTTGCCCTTAACCAAAGTCTCCTGTGTGGTACCTCTGGGTGCATAGGATGTGCAGCTAACAAACAAACTTAGCTTCAGGCTAAGATGCAATCTTTGGCAAAAAAAAAAAAAAAAAAAGGAAGTGGAGCATGAAGTCTGTCTGTACCCTCAGATATCCTGCTATCATGTATTGCTGCTAGTTTGCTGCCTCAAATTCATACCAAGGACTGCCATTTAAAACAGTGCTTCTCTCTAGCAAAAAGCAATTCTTAGGAACTGTCCTGTCAGTGTCACGTGTGAAGCGCATGACCCCAGAGCTTTCCAACTTGTTGTCTATGGGCCCCAGATACCTGTGGACCTACAGATGTGAAATTCCAAAAGCTGTTCAAAGCTGTGCTGCAGAAAATGCCCAAGGTGAAATAGCCTCTTTCAAATTGAAAAATCACTTCTGCTTTAAGCAAAGTAAAAAAAGTATAAAGTCTTTTAGCTTTCTCAGTTCTAGAGACAACTGTGATGTAATGCTGATCTTGTCCAGTTTTCCCCCTTCTCCTCCCTCTTGCAATTTGAAGCCAGTTCTTTGGAGGTGTGCGTTATCTTTGAAATCAAGAATCAAAAAACGTTCCTCATGAAATCTGGGCACAAGAACAGTATTACATAACTAAAACCAGGAAATAAAACATTTCTCAAGTAACGGCAAAAAATTACCAAAGCCTAATTTCTTCCACATTCCAGCATTTTAGCTTTACCCTGCTCTCTTCTTTCTTATACCAAAACTCATTCTCCTCCTGACTCAACTCTGCTGTTTCTCTCCTTGTCTCTGTCCCCCTACTCCCAGCCAATACACACATATACACACATCCACCTGGATTGGGCAAGAAACAGCAAATGCTGTAGTTTCTTTGGAATTACACATGGGAAGAGTGGCCTGTTATCCCATGCAGTGACTGGCCAGGGTCAGACCAACAGCCAACAGACAAGCACTGAGGTCACGCTGCTGCCTTTTTCCTCAGTGGCTATGTTAATTTCTGCCAACAACTAATTTCCATGAAGCTTCCAGGTATTTCATCCTGAATCTATTGCAGGTCTTCAAACCTGTTAGTCAGTCACAGCAAGTTTCACAAATAGAGATGGGGGTGTTATAATGAGATTTTCTTAGAAACTAACCTTTTATAGAGAAAGTTGTATGTTGATGTATGCAACATGAAATATTTAGGGAACAGGAGACGGAGCCAAAAGGTTCCACTTGGGAAGCCCTTTGGTAACAAAAATGCAGTTTGGATAGTGGGGAGAGAAATGTTATGGTTCTTTCCTCTCAGTACTTGAATATCAAAAACCAAAAAATGTCAAAGCTATTTTAATACTACTTAAGCAATGTTTCAAAATGCATTTCTTCTCCCTTGAAAGACTGAATGGTTGTATCATGTTCATATATGAGGCTCCACTACACTTAACTAATCACACAGTTATAAACTTAAGTCAAACAGAGGTGAGCCAATAGGTTACTAACATGCACATTTTACTCAAAGGAAGATGGAATTGTTTTGTATTTCATTTATGCTTGGTGGAAAGAAAATTCATAAAAGTGAGACTGTCATGAAGACTTCCAGAAATATAACTGAACCCCTAAATGTGTTAGGCTGAATATATGTACAGGAAATGAGCAGTGAAAAGAATTTCAATGGCAGGAGAGAGAAGAACCCCCGCACTCTCTCTTAGCCATGCTACCAAAAATATACACTGCAAAATGCTTCTTGTCTCTCAAATCACTGAGCAAAATCAATCCTATTCTACTTATTGCTGAGAAGAAAATAGGGGTGGGAGTTAAAGGGGGAAAAATACGAAGCTTGTTCCTACATGGCAAGACAGGTTTTTAAAGAAGACTCTAGTCAAGACTTCCTAGCAAAAAAACCCCACACTATATTGTCTTTAAAAGAAACTGGACCATTCAGAAATGTGAACATACAGCCATTGATGACATCAAAGGGCACGGTGTTATATTCTCTGTTCACTCTTGCCCCAAATACTTTCTCCTTAGAGTGCTAACAATTTGTTTAGAATGGAGAGATGAGGTAGCAAAAGAAGCAACATTTGGAATTTCTGTGGACAATTTCACAAGGAGCTTATACTAATCTAAGTGTGTGCTGCTGGAAAAGGGATGCTCCACCTTCCCATTCTCATCCTTTTGTCCAAATATGTCCTCTGTGAACCTGCTGTAAGCTCAACCAGAGACTCAATGCAAAAGGATAATTAACCCAAGGACCAAAATGAAAAAAAAAAAAAAAAAGAAGAAAAAAAAAGGTCAACCCCATACTCTAACAACCCAAGTTTCAGCTAGCTGAGTTTTCAGTCGTGTAGCTGACGCAGGCTTTCGTGTTGTTGCACAGGAGGACAAAAGACTGTGGTGGTAGGTGTGGATTTCTGGGTAACTAGGTTCTTTTTTTGGTGACAGTGCATGACGACATCAGCATGCAGCTTGCCCATGAAGCCCCACACTCATAAAGCTAAAGCCAGATTTGAAAACGAGTCTGGCAGTTCATGAGGGCAGAGAAAGAATGAGATATACATACCACCTTCCTGCTTTTCTTGCACGCAGTCTCCAGAATTCCTTTGGCTTCAACAGAGTTTAGTACCTCTTTTACTTTCCTCTTCTTTTTCAAGGTTGCTGCTTTCTGGCTGGAGACTTTCATCCCTTCCAAACCAACCATCTTTGTCTTTGTCTTCAATTTGACCCTTCTTGTGGGCACAGATCCAGAATTTGCTTCTCCTGACAGTGTCCCCAGCAAGCCCTCCTTGTTGGATTTCATGTCAGCTTGATGCAAAAGGGTATCCCCACTCACCAAGACAGCCCCTGCTTTCTTTCTCTTTTTCACAACGGTAGGAGTTAAAGGTGTGACAGACTGGCTGACATCCTGTGCCTCACTGGCATTAGCTGGTCCATACTGACATGCTGATTTTACAGGAATATTTTGCACTTTTGGCTTAATTTTCTTCAGCTGACTCTTTTTACTTTGCTGTGTGTCAGTTGGACTGTTCTGCATAGAGATACTGTTATTTTCTCTGGTGTCAGTTGCGACATTTGTGGTCTCATTTACTAGCAATTTCTTTTTCTTTCTTTCCTTGTTATTTTCTGGCACCTCTCCCTGGCTAAAAACATTAGATACAGATGTTGCAGCTATTCCCTTCTCACAATTTCCATCAGCTGTTCCAGGATCACCACTTTGGCTGTCCCTCTTCTTTCTTTTTTTCCTTGTCTTCTGGCGAGCTGATGCCTCTGTCACATTTGACAGGTCTTCCTCGTCTTCTAAATCCACCCCAAAAAGAATACCACATAACACAGATGTGAAACAGAACAATACTTGCAATAACCGAATTCTACTCAAGTTTTAATTTTCTTTTAAAATAGGCATACCATTTTCCTGCTATCAGCCAGTGCAAGTGTTACTGTTACAGCTGGTCAGGGGACTGCATTCCTCTGATGCCTGGCCTAATTAATATTTTGCTGATCTTGCCTTGTCACAGCTACCATCTAAACCATTCCCTGTGGCAACCCTATTTTGTATAGCAATATTGCTAGAAAAAGTTATTACCCATCTGTTAAGCCCATCAGAAGGGCAACTCAGGAGTTCAGTGAAATATTTTTGGGTATAACTGAGCTGACCCACATCAATATAAGCCATGATGCTAGAAATATGTGGATGTCATTCTCAGTAACTCGTCACCTTTCCAGAAACACCCCCAAATTCCTATATTCTAACAGTTATCCTTCTTTAAGAAGGCTGACCTATTTCTGGTTTTGTATGGCAAATGGAACTACTCATTGGAGCAATACAAACAACTGCTTCCAGTTATGCTTGCCTCAAAATTGCTAACAAAATTCCCACCACTTTCAAAGAGACCTCAATTTCACATTTCATCTTCATTGCAACATGATACAAATCAGCACATCCTGAACAACATGTTTGCCTTCTTCAGAACAGCCTGTATCTGATACTTTGCCAAATTATAGACGTGACTGTGGATTGTCTCTTCCAAGGGTTGATCTTGCCTTACCTTTTACTTTTTCCAAAGTGTTTTTCTCCCAAGGCTTGACAGCTTTTTTCTTTCTCCTTCTCCTGCTAAATTCATCATCATCATCATCATCATCTGTAGAAACATCTTCCGGAAGATCATTGGGGAAGATTCCTGTTGAGGAGGAAGAATAAGGTACCTGAAAACTAACTGAAGTTATGCCGTCCATTTACAGCATAATTCCCACAGAAATAAAATCAACTCCTTTCTTCTCCACTCAACCCGAAAGAAAATCACACGAGTGACTCCTATTTTAGTAAAAATAATAATCTTTCATTTAAGGACAAAATACAGGGCTGCTCAAATTGTGAAGGGGATTTGGTATTCTCACCAAAAATGTGTAATGTTGTCTTAATGAGTTTAAAAAAAATAGCACAACCCCCCCCAAGCAGTATTCTTGAAATACATCTTTGAAAAAAAAAAGAAAAAAAAAAGATTTGCAATACACACTGTACAGAAGCATTATATATCCTTTAACGGAAAGAAACTACTGCCTCTTTATGCTCCTCAGTTCTTACCTTCTGCTAAGTCCTGGAACCTGGAGGTGGGGACGAATGGAGAGAAGCAAAAATAAAACAGTATTACTGGTTTAGTATTGATAATAACACTAGCAGCATAGTGTCACTGCACTTACTATGGTTCAGTCAAAACAGGAACAACAGATTTTGCACAGGAAGTTACAAAGAGATCATTCCAGAAGAGCTCTATCTCAGAAATTCGAAAACTCAAACCAAATAACTGGAAGTATTAGGAAAACAACAACTTAACACTTCTCCCTCAGCTGTAACTTGCATCACATACAATCTGGTGTCACATCATGCAGTACAAATCAGCCCGGAGTAGATACACCACAGCTCGCTGCAGCTGTCTAGTACCAGTGTGAACAGCAGCCCAGGCATCAGGCACCTTATGCGTGTTATCCAGGGCTGTGAGACTGGCCTGCTCCCAGGACACTGTCACCAGGACAAGCAAGGGTGGGGACAAAGCAAAGTACGAGTTGTTTAGGACAAGGCAGCACATGCAAGGCGTATTTCGACAGAACTCACTTTTTGACCAGCTTGTACAGACGCTTTCTGTTGAAGGAAGGTGTGTTTTGCTTGCTTGCAAATTGAAAGAGTTTGTCGGCAACAGCCTTATAATCAAACTGTTGGAGGAAAGTATGAAACAGCTTTTCTTAGTTTATTCATGCAAGATAACCCAATGTGACTCATGTTATCAACACTTCAAGTACCATCCACTTCCTTTAAACATCCACTTCCTTTAAACCCAGGGTATTTTTTCTCTGTTGCAAAAGACACCCCTTCACACATGTACACTGACTTTTGCAGATGGTTGCTTCGTTCACCGCACAGCTGAACTCAGTGTCACCTTCGCAAACATTCCTAACCTTCCTCCTCAAGAGAGGAGACAACCATCTTCAGAACTCCCACAAATACTTAGCTAAATATCAGATTTAAAGTGTGTCATGTCCTAATTCTTGCTTAAAAACCACAGATGCATGAAGGTTATGTACCTATATGGGTGTTTGATGGGTGGAATCTGTCAAAAACACTAAACTGCACTGGAAGTGGGTCTAAAAAAACCCAAATGGCAACATATTACATGTCTCTCCTAGGTATCCCATCATCCATTACGTTTGCTCTTTTTGTCAGTGAAACTTAGGCCAACGACTCACCACCCACAGTGACTTGGCTTTTACCATAAAGTTTTGTACTCTCCAAACAGGAAGAGAGGAACAGAAAAAAGAATATATGGGAAAGAGCAAAGAACTCAGAATTTCAACATAGATTTCTTTTCTTATAAACTGCTCACAGAGCACACATTACATGAATACCACCTTACATTAAAGCAGGAGGAGATGAAAATTTTGTAACATGTTTATCCAATTAACCCTTACTTCTGCACTATGTGAAAGGGATGGCGAAAACAGAAAACAGAGGGGTAGTATCAGCAACAGGGCAAACAAAACACAAACCTGAAGAACAGTCCCGATACCGTCATCAGCATTTTCATTAACATCCTCTGTTTTTTCAGAGCTGTGTGCTGATTTTCTTGACAAGCATCTGTCTGCTATTATAAAAAAACACTGAATAGTAACATCTAGTTTGTGAAAACCATGATATCACACACTACGCAGACAGATCACATGCATTTTTCTTCATGCCATCTTGTGAGTCTGAACTGATTTAACCACTTTATGCCACCATTATGCAATACAAAACTGTGGCATTATCTGAGTGCCTTTTAAAAAACTGTAACAGTGTATATCTGGATTTAAAATTTTCTTGCTAGTTTGTTTATTTTAAATTTAAAGTTGCCAAAACCTGACCTTCTTCAAAAATGGTAGGAACATCAAAAAGCCAAAAGCCAGACTGGGTTATCATCTAGCACCACTGCAGGAAGCTGATACTGCCTGGTTTTATAGAGAACACTGATGTTTGTGACATATTCTTTTAGAGCTGCTTTCTTTAAGGACAGTGAAGGGCAAATAGGAAATCACAATTATCCTTACATAACTCTGAACGTGTGTTTGACTAGTTCAGAGCAGAAATGTATTTTTAAGTAAGAGATTTTGAAATCCTAGCAGATATCACCAAGGCCATTTAGAACTTCCTCCTCACCTTTGGTTTTAAGCACTTCTTTATTTTTCTGTTTGTCTTCTTCAGACCCATCCTCTTCATCACTGTTGTTACCCAGTTCTGCCATTAGGTCCTCAATGGCATAGGGAGACTGATCCACAATTAACTCAAAGATACCAGTGGCCACAGCATGCAGCACACGTCGACTGCATTACAAGACAGCAGAGATGAGAGTTGAAAGGCAGAAGCATATACACCTTTACCTCTCACATTAAAAAATGTAAATTTGACCAACTTGGGGAAAATGGCTAAGAAAGAAGTGGAACAGCATCTAGCTCTCCAGATGAGGAAACTGAACCTGTTATTTCCTAAACTGAAGTCCTTTAATTCTAACAGTGTCCTGCCAATGTTCCTTTCTTAAATTTCACTGTTCATATACTGCACTATATTACACTGCAACAAAGTACCAAACCACCTCAGCTGTTCTGTGCATTTAAAGAAATAACCAGACAAAACCAGCCAACAGACGTTGATATAGTTCATATAAATCCATGAAGATGATATATTGCTTTGATAAACATAAGTTATTTTCAAATGACTGTGCACATTGTTAGTAAAATATCCTTCTTTCTCCACATTTTGAAGTTATACTGTGACTCTGCTTCAATCTGTTTATTACCATTTGGAATGGTATATGCAGAGTTTCTTAATTCTTAAAAAAATATTTATCTTTTCATTAAACTTACTCCTTTGATTTGGCAGCAATTTTGCAGAAAGGTTCAATGAACTTGAGATTCTGGTCTGCTGTAAGCTGTATGATTAGAAAGAAAAAAAATGAGTACAGGAAATATTTTATGTGTGCACACAAATTCTTTGAATATTTTGTGCAGGGGGATCTTCTTCAAGAAGTTAAAGTCTTTCAGCATAATATCTAATTCCAAATGACAGGAGTATTCTGATTTCTGTTTTCAGGATTCTGTGTTCAGTGAGTTTCTGTTACCACTGCTACCACTAACTTCCAGATAGTCTCTGGAAACATAAAAATGTTGACTGCTTTACAGACTTTAATCTGACTACAGAAATATAGCAAAGCTTCTTATTTTACATGTAGAAAATTTTGTGCACTTTCACAAAGAAGGTCTGTAGCACATATGAAAAATATCTGGGTTTCTCTTAACTGGACTGCTTGGACCAAAACATTGTCAGCTACAGTAGTACTAAAGATAAAAATCATTCCTTAAATTCAATTTATGAGCATCAGCTGTCATTTCAAATAGCCTAGGGGATTACTTCCCCATGCTTCCTGTGAGTGCCTTAGCCACAGGTTTATGTCTGTGGAGCTGCAGAATTTATTTTGGGCTCCAAGTGCAGGCACTTCTCTTATGCAGACATCTCTCTCACACTCCACAAAGCAGAACCAGAAAAGCTGCAGGCGGGATTGCTTTCAGTGCGGTCTGCAAAGGATACAAATGGAAAATTGCTAACAGCTTCACCCATTGCAAGGAGATGTATCAAATGCCAGAAACGAGAGATGCCAGAAACAGAAAAGAATGAACAGAAGCCTGGAACCAATCATGGATGGTGATGGTCAGCTCACCCTAGTGGAGTAACAGGAGATAAGACTCCTTTTTGGAAGAAGTTCAGCAGTGACAGCTGCAGCAAGAGGCTTCCAGTTGCTGCAAAACTCTGCATCACTGTAACATCTACCAAAACTAAAGGCAACTGAGACATCAATATACACAGGGCAGAGATTGATGTCATCAGCAAAATGAACAACTGGATGTAGAGGGTAAGTTGCTCAATGTGCACCCAACAAAGTTTGATGCTGACAATAAGTGACCATCAGAAAACTCTGAGGGCTCACTTTTTACCTCTATTTAGGTGTTATACAATCAGCCAAGAGCAGGATTTATGTCAGTTTTTGCAAAAGCAAAGACTGGTAAACACATTTGCATAAGGGACAAGATGTTCAGTCCTTTCTGTTGAAACAAATGAGAGTGGCCTAACTTCTCTATCACTACTTTTCAACCTCAGTTTGGAGCAGTGTACCAGCACCCAGGAACCTGAGAGAAAGTGCTATGTTCTCACCATCTACGCTAAGACACGAACAAAACTAAAAGCATAAATTATAAGAAGTCACTTTCTTCAGGCTTTTTCAAAGTTGTTATGTTACATTTAAAACAACATGTTAAAACCTATAAACTAAAAATTATTTCTATTACAGTTAACATCAATTGTGAAGAAAATAACAATGTATTTTCTAACCTCCTTTGCTCCAACTTTTGCCAGTTCATCCAGATAGATATCGACAAAATGAAACTTTATCCCAATAGGAGCATTGCTGTCTGGGTCCATAATTTCTTTCATTAGTAGTGGCAGGATTAGTTCAATTAGACTGAAAAAAGACAAAAAAACACCCAAGATATTAATATTCAATCACTCACATTCCATTTGCTTTGAAAAAAAACTCCAGTCATTCAGCTTCACCAGGTCTTTAAGATGCCTATCCAACACTCATAAGAAATAAATCCAGTGACCATTTTTCATATCTTAAAGCAAACTTTAAAAAAAAAAAATCCACTCATAATGAGCACTCCTTACAGTCTAGATGGTTTTGTAGCATCAGACAATCTGTTCAATGCACACTGCTACAGTGAAAATCAGCGTTTTGAAATTCACACCTTAATTTGGACTGAAGCTTATTAAGTCACATGATTGACAGGTAGGAGGTTGCCAGTTGAGTAGGGCATTCCAAAGACACAGCTGTCATATTCATCCATCCTTGATGGGCAACACCTCATACCCTTCCATTTTATGAGAGAGTTTTCCTTTTGGTGCACACCCAAGGATCAAATTTAATACGGATCCTTCTCAAACTGATTTCAGCCGTGCAGACACTGCCTTCGCTAAAGCACATTATCCACAGTCCCTTAGAGCAAAACAAATACTGCAGAATAGATGAAGGGCTCAGCTAGGCATAAAAAAAAAAATTATCATCCCAATAGCTCAATCCAGACATGACTGAGCTGTGTAGAAACGGGACCATGGCTCTGTTCAGTTACTGACTTCTGGATTACTAACAAACACTGCTGGAGTGACACAGCTCAAAGAGACATCCTGTCACTGCTGCACTTGAGATTTTTCTTCTTTTATTTCCTGAGGCCTACCCTTGCTATCTTTCAGGAAAGTGATTCTTTGTGTATTCCACGCTTTCTTCCCTGGAGTTCTGTGGGACCTCCTGCAATTTTGATAATGTCACAATCCGGTACCGAAGGGGC